TATGGTTTACTGGTGTGAACACTTGGCAGAACCATGAGCAGCTGCATCTCAAAAACCAGCCTATGGTAAAACACAATCCAGCCTACAGTGACGTGTAGGGTGGCTGCGGCTGTGTAGATCAGGTTGGTCATTTTGTAGACTCTGAAACACTGCATGTTTCACAGAGTGTGTCACTTTGCTCTTGTAAATAACCAGCAGCATGGGAATGGGAATGAAAGTTATTGGATGCAAAAAGAGCTGCAAACAAATGATGTTTGGATTTGGGAGTATGGGAATTAGTATTGGATGTACCGTACCCTGAATGGTCATTGAAAATCCAGTATTGTACCATCCTGGACAAGCATCCCCTACGTCCATGGATACATTTGTTAAGAAAGACTTGGTCCCTCATATGACGAGGAAGTCAGCTCTGTTTACGTTTGTAATTTTTTTGACCTTTTTGCCCTTCAATATGGCACATAAGCATTGTTTTGTCTGACCAAATTATAGAGGACAATAAATAATTCAACAGCAATTTTACTAACTCCCTGTAAATGCAATAGTTTCTCGGCCAACAGTTTTTATTTTCCTACATATTTTGTCATATGTAATATTTAGTACGTAATTGTATTTAAGTTCCGGCTTAAGAGGAGAAAGGTCAAGTTACGTCGCTACCAAACTCTGACACAAGTCAAGGACCACCTGTATATCTCTTTTTTTCCATGTGGGAGGTGTCATGCACACAGGGTTACCAGTTCACAGTGGAGAACACCTTACACAGAAGGACCGTCCATCAGTTCAGTCTAGGGCTCAAACTGGTGATTTTCTTGCTTTATGACAAAAACTCTTTCACCATGTAGTAATCACTAAAACCATCAAAATTCACATGTAATTCAAGCCATTGTCCAGTAAATAATATCCACACAAAAAATTGACAAATATATATATATAATCCTTTATCCAAAATGTTATAAAAATGTATAATTGTTAGTATTAAAAATAACTGTTATAAGACTATTTTAATCTGGTATTAAAATTGGATACAACATTGACGTCAAACTCAAACTAAACTCCACTGACGTGACCTGGACACAGACTGTAGACTGGACTGAAACATAAACACTGACCGGCCCACATCATGGACTGCTAAAACACCAAATATTTAATGCTGACCCTGCAGGCAGTGCAGCAGCTGATATTAATGGCGGCCAGTGACGCTCGCAGCTCTACGAGAAACCATCCGCTCAGATGGTAATTACATGAAGTGGAGACAAAACTTGTGTCATCACACTGTCTCATCACACAAAGGCACAGAATGACTGCTGATGGCATCAGCTCCACTTATCTGCCTGGTTTGTAATGGAGAGAAACAAATTGAATCGTTGTGTTAAATGAAACTGCAGGCAAAACCTTACGACGTGTGAAATCTCAAACGTAGCCTTATGGGCCGCAGCTGCTAACTGTTTTTATCTCCACGAGCCAGAGGAGTTAAACACATTTCATTAAACTCCTGCTAGACTTGGTTGAAAACAGCCAAATGCAGTTTCACTGCCTCACTTTAATGTAAAACAGCCAGAATCTTTATTGAAATGTGTTTTACCTTGGGCTTCTTTCAGTGTTCTGAATCTGTTTGGATTAGTGGCGGTATAAAAAAGTCCACCTGTACATTGAGGCTCAGTGTGTGGCAGCAACACTCCTCTGTGGCGCTGACTTCCACGAAAACACAAACACATGTATTGTCTATGTGCTAATGAATGTCACCCGGGTCATTCGCTACCGTCCATTAAATTTTTAATTTAGCGTAACATCTTCTGAGACTTACATCAGTGCGTTTCATGCGGCAATACAGACTATTAATAGAGCACAGCAGGTGCCATGACTCTATTGTTATAATTTGCTAATTACTGTAGTCGTTTTCTGTTTAAAACTGTACGCATTTAATGAGACGGTCTTAAAAAGATTAATCCGGGGTCGACCTAACTTTTTTAAGGGGGAACAGAGTCGTTAATTTATAAATTACCAACAACCAACTGCCTCTAATGCGATCTTTATGACTGTAATGAAGGTACATGAGATGCGTCGCATTTTAACAAATGTGTACAGGTTACAACAAATGACTTTTGTTAAAGCTGCAATGCTGACAAAAACAACTGTGGACAGCATTCTGCTAAACATGCTGTACTGTAGCTCTAAAAAGCTAAATGTCAGCCAGACTAAACAAGGATAGTCCACTATATACAGTATATGCATATATACACTAATATATATGAACAAATACAGTATATATGATAGAATGTAATATGTTAAATATATATATAAAATGTATATAATAATATATAATAACATTTTTTTTTAAATCATGAACATAAATCCACCTCTGGTTTCTTAGATATTTTATTTTAATTTATAAGAAACAAACCCTACAGTTCTTGTCCATAACATATTAGTATTAGTAGGTAATGTGTGGGGTGCAGAAACCCCCCTGGGGCAATAAGCTCCACGTAACCTGCTGTAATTGTAGATAGGCATTAGAAAAGCAGGAGACCAACCGGGGGAGGGGGGGGGGGGGGCACTGCAGGTGTCGCTCAGAGCTAATGTTACACCGTGACAATTTTGATTTGTTTATTATTAAGAAGACAGAGTCTCCTCTGATATGAAAGAAGCCCAAAGCAAGTGGATTGTTAACAGTGTGCTACTACTGGAGTCCAAATATAATCAGGTAACGGAGCTACAGGCATATTTGTGCTGCTGGAAGCTGTCAGAGTAGATATTCATCAGCCTATGCTGATCATGCAGCAGGATTTTGTCTTTAAACACTGACAGCCTATAAATGTCCACAGTTGAGTTAAACATTTTTATGATCCAATCAGGGAGCAGAACTAAGCCTGGTACAGATGCAGTGGATTTAAACGCCTCAAAGGTTGGGGGATGTTTGTGTTCTTTACCCATATGTTTGCATTAACAACCAGATGCACTGTGACTGTAGTTGCTTAACTACACAATGGAAAGTGCTTAACGTTCTTGCCTTACAGAAAGACGATCACCGGTCTGAACCCCAGTAACTCAAAGATTGTATCTCTCTCTGTATGGAGTTTACATGTTATCCTGGTGAGGGCCTGCATTTTTACCAGGTAGTCATTCAGGGTTGGCTGACCTGTTCATTTTAAATGGCTGAGTTTGAGTCTGACTATACATCGGCTGTACTGTATATGTGGCTGTATGATGGAGTAGACTGTCCCTGCCCTCACCAGACGGCTGCTGAGATTGGCTGCAGCTCCGTACGACACTGTGAAAAGGATTGAGCTGCAGAAAATGAATGAATGAGTAATTGCTGGCACTAGATGTCATACTTCTCGTCTAAGACTGTCACCCTCCAGTCTAAACTCTGGCCTGAGGGCCAGCTGTGGCACATTGACAGGTAATTCTTTACTGGTGGATTCGGACACTTCAGGAAACTGTAAAATTAGACGAGGAAGGGCGGTTGAAGGGGACATCATCTAACGTCTAACTAGCCAACTTATACAAGAGGTAATGGATTGAGCTGTTACATACACAATGAGAAGAGAGAATGGCTCTAACACTGCACTGCAGGGCAATTATCAACTAATAGCAGGGGGTATTTATTTATGTTTATGAATTTTAATAACACCTGTATATTTTTGCACATAGTTTTTAAAAAGAATACTATATTTTGGTGGCGCTTTGGCCCAGAGGCAAGGTCTCTGTCATTGGTGTGGAACCCCAGGGTTCACTTCCTGGGCAAGTTCGAATCCCGGTTAGGGCGGTTGGTACCTTCCAGTGGACTCACCACCCGCAGGAAGGTTTGGTACGGTGCAATGTGATTTGGGTGGCGACTGCTGCCCCCGCGACCCGGTAACGGATAAGCGGATGAAAATGGATGGATGGTTACTATATTTTGTCAGGTGTGTCTGCCTCTCTGCCCTTCTGTCTGTCTCTCCCAGGGTAAATAGTTTCATCAGCCTCACCTGTGTCATGTGCTTCTCTGTTGATTAGCCTCACTCATCTCACCTGGTGCCCTGGGGTGGCTCCGTCCCTGCTGGAGAATAACAGGTCAGTTTTCCTTGGTCCATGTCTTGTTTTCTTTGTCTCTGTTCCTTCCTGGCCTGTGTTGTTATTATTGTATTGTTTTTATTCAGTTCAGTTCTGATTCCGAGGCAGGGGTGGTAACATATACTGTATCATGATGTAATAGAAGTAACTGCTGTTGTTTTATGTTGAGCTGCTTCTTGTTTAAATAGTTTTAAAATTAAGCATTTACTCAGTAGTTGGAGCAGGTTTTTAAACCATTTTTATGCTCTCCTTTCTTTCTTTGTATTTTTTATTTTTAGTTTTGCTATACTTGTGCTACTGAGGATTTTGTATATTTGAGATTTTTAACAAATGTGTGATTTTCATCAAACATCATACAAATGCATGTTCTATATAAATAAATATGGTTTAACGTGTTGGATTTGTATAAAAGCTGCAGTAAATGGGTATCACAGCATTTGTCCTCTGTTTGTACATTTTAAATCTCCCTGTACTTTGAAAAAGTGCAGACGACCAGATTTAACGGTTGCAGCAAATGCTGTGTTCACTTTGTTTAAAAATAAGTATTTCCCTGGCCTTGCAGTGGATTGGCCCAGAATTAAGCTGGGATGTTGGACAGGAAGCTCTTGTTTGAGGTTAATTTTGCCAAATGAGGTACAGTGGGTGTGTGTATGTGCATGTGTAAATATGCATGTGTGTTTGTGTGTGCAGTAATGTAGGTTTTTTCCTAATGCTGTCAATATTTAATGGCTGTGTTTTGACTTGGAGAACATCATTTTCGTGGCTTTTATCTCTTTCTAATTGTGAAACTCTGCGATGCCCCGCTGCGTGACATATAATGTGCTGAAAGTATTTCTGCTTTTACATCCAAGCTCCAAACATTTCAGTTCCATCGTGCCTTTGAGCCATGTTAATGTTAATGTGACTCTGTGTGTTTGTGCACGCGTGTGTAGCAGGTTCAGAAATGAGCAGCATCTTGGGGCGAAATGCCCTTGACATACAAATGAAGAGGGTTTTAACTGGCCTAAAAAAATTAGTTAACTTTTGACTGGGTAGCACACATGACCTTCAGGTTTTTGTTTTTTGTTTTTTTCTTTTTGAAGCGTGCCATCAGAAGTGTTACAGGATTAGAGCTCAGTTGAGGGGGTGGCTCAAAAAATGTTTTCTGTAGGGGTAGAGTATGCAGGAGGGTTTAACTTTCATTTGCCTGCAGGGGAGCCATCACTTTGTTAAAATCTGCCGACTTTGTCGGCAGCTATGTATGGGATGGTTTAAAATAAGTACATTCTTATTTTATTTATTTATTTATTTTTTGTGCTAACCCGTTGGCTAAAATCTGCTTGTCTTTTGGCTTCTAATCAGTAGTCTTTGGCTCTATTTTAAGATTCAATATTTTGGTATGGCGCTTATAGTTATTTGGTTTTAGTCGTTAAAGAAAAAGGAAAAAAAAATCCATATGTCTTGACAAAGTGTCAGGCAGCCACATTATTCACACATACTGTATTTATACAGTTTTGTGAGAAACTAGTGTGAGGAGTTTGTCTTCAGCGGAGTGGAGCACAAACTACAGTTCATCATCATGTCAGTGCTTCTGAGATTGTTTATTCCTCTTCTATTTACCGTCACACACGGAGCCTCCCGCCGCAGTGAAATTGTCAACCTATGGGCCGAACCTTCTCATGTTTACAGAAATAACTGCTCTTCTTCCCGGCTGTGGAAATGGGAAATATGCATGCTCGCACATAAAGCACCTTTTCTGTCTCCTAAAGATACATCTCGCCATGAAACGTATTGCGCAAACACACACCATAATTCCTCAGTTTGAGTATTTTTATCTGGATTCAGTTCTCCAGGGGAGTGAGTCTGCTCTACACCCACACAGCCTTCGCTGACAGCCTTCAAACTCAGCAGTTGAAGCACTGCCTCACTGCATGTCATTGTGCTCTAACTACTCTGACAGTACTACAGTAATGAATGACCACTGTAAACCAGGGTCAAAGGATTAGCAGCAGTCAGAGCCGCAGCCGTAGCTTTTACTTGTAAATGAAAGTTGTAGCAAATAAACCAAATAAAACAGATGACACTTTTGAAGTACAATATGCAGGAGAGAACATCTAGTTTCACCTCTGTAGGTGGGGCTATATGCACAGTTTGAATGTCCTGAGCCAATTGGTCAGTAGTTCACTACAGGTTTAGGTGTAAAAATAGAAAAAGAAAAATTATATATGAGCAGACAGGGATGGGAATGATGAAGAAATGTTTTATTAGTTTTTTTTGTAAATTTTAGTTATTGTTGTTTTGGCATCAGCCTAATGTAATCACCACACACGTTACTTTAGACATCACTAACAAACTTTTAGCAAAAGATGTGGCTAACTTTTAGCTTCAGGGCTAATGCCATTTATAAGATAAGAACCTAATGTTGAGCTAAGTACAACACTGCTTATATATTGCTAAAATATATTTTGGTAAAAGTCCTGAAACCCCCCTTTTTTAAGAGACAATTTTCTTTTCTGAGAGACAGACAGACAAACTCTCCCTGACATGAAGTGCTGTTGACGTGTCCATATCCAAAGAAGTGCTGGAAAGTGACCGTAGTCGTGCCCTTGTCACCAGCTCGGAGGTAACAAGTGAATGGAAGAGTGCTTCCACCTGAGTTGGGTAATCATTACTAACTGCATTAGCTGCTGAGCCAAGGGTACAAGTGGGATAAATATCTTTCCGAGATGAATTCAAACTTCACTTATGTAATGAAAGGCAGGCTGATTATTGATTTCTTTCCAGGTAACACTGCATGAATGCCTTACATCACACAGACTGATGTTCAGTTGAAATGACAAAAAAAACCATCCTATTCAGCAGACACAGTACAACATAAATAGTTTACACACTGTTAAAATGTAATTTTAACATTAAAAATGTAGTTAAGCTGCTTTTACATCCATTTCAATAGGAATAGGCAAGTTTCAGGACTCGCTGTACGGTCGTTGTAAAATACTGTCACTTTACAACACTTTTACTTGCCAACAGATCCTTTTGTTTTTGTTTTTCAAAAATTTCATCTTGCAGGTCCTTCAGTCCAGCACAAATATGCAAATAGAGTTGTTGCCTTATTCATGCATAATACTGTTTGTTGCCATGTTGCTTTTTCCATCCCATGTTTTCTTTTCTTTTTTTTTTTGCACCGTCATCATCATCATCATCATCATCATCATAGCAGACACACATCATCATCACAGTCATCATCATCATCATCATAGCAGACACACATCATCATCAGAGTCATCATCATCTGCACCGCCATCATTTGCCACCTAATCATCATTATAATCAAAAATGTCATAATTATTACCGTTACTACTTTATGGATGGCACAATTATTGCTATTTTGGTGCGTTAATAATGTGGCAGTGATTCATTTCTCTGCCTAGTTCTGACTGTGTTCATTATGCCTCTAGAACAGATGGACCTGTTAGCTGCACACGTCTGACGACTGCTCAAGTGTCGGATTCGGCACACGGAGCAGCTGGGAGGACGCGGCCCCGGCTTTTCGAGTCGGTCCGTGCTCTTCAATAATTCAACCCTTCCAGCTGTCTCATATCAGACCCAGGGCTCCATCAACTCCAAACTCACAAAACACTAACAGTGTTTGTATGGAACACATTAGTCCAAGGAGAAATAACCAACTGGAGAAATAGTATTTCATTTATGAGAAGGCAGTGTCGTACACCAGGTATGTTCCTGGTCTAAGAATCAAACATAGACCTTGAAACATGGTGTTTTCATTGAGCTCTTACAATTCTTTGAAATACAATGTAGTCAATGTTTTATTTTGTCAATATGTTTAGCCATATTTGGCTAAATTGATTTATTTATTTTTATTTCTGTGCTACTTCTTGCACAAATCTGTGCCATTCTAGCTGATGATAATAGCTTCTTTTTTTAAGAGTCAACTTTAAAGTATTAGCTTTGCTTAAAGTCATCTTTCTTTCTTTTTACCTGACCTTTCAAGTTGTTGTCAAGTAGATTTTTTTTTTCTGAGCTTTTTGGGCAAATTGTAGGGTCTTGTGTGTGTGTGTGTGTGTGTGTGTGGACTTTTTAATGGATGTAATTACTAGCATAATGTCTAATTATATTTTTGCTAAAATCATTTCAGCATTTTGGTTGTAGTTGGTTTCAAATCATTTTTCACCATTTTACTGGATTCCAGGCTAACAGTTACCTGATTGTTGGATTTGACATTAATCTCAGTGGTCAGTGGCTTTCTTTTAGTTCAGTTTTTTGTTGTACCTAAACCTTTGTTGTCTTTTGGCTAGTTTGATGACAGCTATGGCAAATAGTGAGTGAAATACTGTTTCCAAAATGTTCCATGAGTTATACGACTGTTAATATACGGGTCTGAAATATTCTGTAGAAAACTGGACTAACCAGAATGCTTTGGATTAATAGCACTTGCTAGGTCATACAAATCAATTTGTTTAAACTGAATAAATAGGTTAAAATGCAATGCATTGATATATTGCTGACCACACCAAAACGTTGACCGTTAATTTAAAGAAACTTTCCATATGTTCAGTTCAGTATAACTGTATTTCTGTAGAGATTTTTTTTAACTCAAGGACTCTTTTTTTCCCTTACACAAGACATCTTTAATTATTGACTGCTGCCCTCAATTCAAGTGGTTAAAGACCCTTGAATTTAGTCTTCCTAGAGGCTTCCTGTAGGAAGAGAATGGATCTATGGATGTGGCATCCTGGTGAGATGAAAGTACAATTATCTCCCAAGAAAACGAGTGGAAAGGGTTTTTAATTAGGAACTGGCCAAATCCGCGCACTGAGAATCTGTGCATTGTGATGGATGGTGTGTGCATCTCCTTAGTGACTGCAGATGGAATTATAATCTGACAGAAAGGATGGACTCTGCAGAGCAGGGTGGCCAGCATAAAAGAAACCAGTAGGAGGAATGTGTTTACTGGCAGGAATGAGAAACACAGATGTGAGAGCAGGACAATGGATAATTCTGCAATTATTGGTGGGGACTGAGTGCTTCAACTGTTACATTTCTATTTTTTAACTGTAAGGATAGGGTTTACTTGGGGTGTACAAGAATAACCTTTCAAGGTCAAGGTTAAGGTTGAGCTTTATTGATCCCACACTGGGGAAATTATTAAAACGACAAAAGTTGTCTTTAAGATCTTGGATCATTTTCTGAGCTGTGAGTTCTACCAATGCCTTGCATTAACCTCTGGTTAAACTAACAATTATTTCCATAAATCAATCTTTCAAGCAATTATTTTTTTTCATTTAATTCATCAGTCTTGGTCCAATTCACACAACATATTTTGCCTCAATGGACTTTATTGATTATTATAGTTGATGATAAAATGAACTGCCTCTGCGTAACAAGAAAAGATGTATGATTTAAAAAAAAAAAAAAAAAGGAGGAACAGCTACTTGAACTTTCTTTACTTCAAAAGCTACTATGTACTATCTTAACAGCAGTGCAAAAAAGCACAAGAGTTTGACATTCCCAAGGTTGTCGGTCATCTCTGTGTGTCTGCCCCATATGTTTAGGTTATGAGGTGTTGAGTTTGGTCCAGTCACGAAAAGCTCTTATTGTCAGATCTGTCTAAACCTCTGTGTAAATACAGGCAGAAATCACAGATCATCAGAAAGTGAAGAACGCAAAACTGACAGAACCCTTAATGAGTGGATGTATATTTAGTTACTGATAGACTAAGCTGTGCAACTGTCAATGCTACAATAATCCTGAACAGATGTCATAACAAATGTAGTGTTTGAGGAATATCAACGATGTGAGATTGTTAGATCTTTACTGGTAGAATATCTGTATTGCTTCTTGACCCATTCTCTAAGGAATGAAAAGTGGATAAAAAATATATTCCATCAGGATGTTTATTTTGCATATTGATTGCAAGTATATTAGAACTGTAGGAAGTCAATTTTTGGTCTATAGTGAATTTCAAATTACACAAGAGCTAAACATGTTTCGTCACAATTTCTGGGTAAAATACAACAACAAGGGTGGCTCAAGACTAACGTGCAACACTACTGTATATGGGATGAATTAGGACTCGCAATTTATATGAGGCATAAAACAGTGAATATAAGCAGCGAGGAGATAGTGAAAGCTGACGATTAAGAACGTGGAATTTGAAAGGACAGAGATGAAACAAAAGAAACGGGGGGAATTACAGAGAAAGACGGAGAGCAGCAGAGCCCCGAGCAGCAGCAACCATGATTGGTCTTATTCCCAGTGCTGTGCCGATTGGTTGGCCTTCTCCACACTCCCATCTCGTTGGCTCTTACCCCCTCTCTCATCTCAGCAGGGGGCTCCACAGTCGCCAAGCCCCTTAATGCTCTCCCCTCCGCTAATCTGCTGCGCGGCTGGCTTGCAGAATGCAAAATCACGATATAATCATAATCAATGTCTGAGCATGTGTAGGAGGAGTATAATTGAGCCTCGGTTTTGAAACCGGTTTTCATGTTTTCTTTTTTTTTTTTTACTTTGAAAAAAGTGTTAAAAAAGGCACAGTGTGTATGTAAAACCAGCAACCTTGGATGTAAATTTACCTCAAAAACAGACACGTGGTGGTGTAATTATGTTTGCGCTAACTCGATTAGAGGCTGAAAAAGTGGATTTTAGCTGTGAGTATATTAGGTGTTTCTCAGAATTTCAAGGCTTTTTGTCCTCTGGAAAAATACAGCCTCCATTTATGTATTCACAGGAAGGAAGAAGAGTGATTATCATTATTTTTTCTACGTAAACATGGTGCTTTTTCATAGGCTCACTAGCCAAACCAGCACCTTATTTAGTTTGACTAGTATTGTAGGTTTTTAGGCTCTCTGTAAAATATTACCTCCTTTTTTTTTGGTCTTTTTTTTCAGGTCATCTATTAAAACTATTAAATAACCTTGAAATAATGAAAGCCCTTGAATATGAATCAGTGGAGAACCAGACGGCGTGAACAACACACCCAAGGTTTAGCTACTTTTTGTTTAATGTTTTTTGTTCTTGCTTTAGCCGTTTGGTTCCAGTGAAATGTTCCAGCTATAGCAATGAATTCAGTTGTTGAGGGTAGAATTGGCAGAAAATTAAGATAAATGTTGTTAAACAAAGCCAGTGTAACTTTCTCTTATGCAGGAGAGGTCAAATGTTCTACATTGTAAAGAGCATATGCAGATTACTCTAGCTGTACACCTCAAAACATGTTATTTTTAGCTGAAATCCTGAAACAATTGAACTCTGACACAAATGAGCTTGATCTTAAATTGTGATCATTCATTCTTGTATGAGACAGGTCTTGACAGCTGATCTTGACCTTTACCCTAACATTCCAATCTTTCACATCATCCTTGCATCTTGAAAGATGCATTACGTTCAACTTTTGAATCTTTATTTACTCCTACATTTTATCCATTTACAAAACCAAAAAAATTGAGAAAAATGTTTTAATTTATTTTCCATTTTAATATGTAGAATAGTTTTAATGTCACAAAAGGCAGATTCTACTGGCATCAGAAATGTGTCTGTCCATATTAGGTTAGGCCTCTGTGAGCCACCACCATCACCATTAAAGACATTAGTTGTAATGTTTAAGGTTCATTTATCTCCTGTATAATTAAAGGGTGACCGTGCTCTTTTGGTCTCAGCAATATTAACACAACATTAACTCTCATGTAATCTAATAATTATTTGTCAAAAAGATACTTTATAATATCTTGATACTTTATAATATAGAGTGTTCTGCATATTCCTTTTTAATTTTTTTAACTAATGATTATTGTTTAGCCGGAAGGCTTGCTTTGATTAAAAATAAAACAGCCTGAAAGTGGCATAAATTATGTCCATGGGATAACAGGGAATTATGTTCGAACAATGAACCTTATTTAAAAAAAAGAAAAGGAAAGAGGTTTTTGTTGCAGGCTGAGTTTGCAAAGTAAAGCCCTGGAGAAAGACCTGAACTGTTTCAGAAGAGTCTCAGCAGCGTAGCCCGCAGAGTTTTGGCCATTTCCTTCATCTCCTCTGAGAGAACAGCTTCCCACAGAGATGTTAGAGATGCCATCCCTTGAGTTTGTTTTGGGTCTGTTCAGGGTTTTTTATCCAGATGGGACTTCCCAAAGCAGACATACCCTTCTTTATGTAGAGGACACTTGGTTGTACTATTAGTGACTTTTAAATGTCCTAACACTGAGGTAAGTCCTGCTCTTAAATAAGTTAATGTTATGAATGTGGTGAAACTTGTTGTTCTGTAACGAAATACTAAAATGTCAATGTCCTGACACCAGCAAATAGCATTTGATTTGATTTATATTCAGTTTTAGCGTGAGGTGTATGGGAAATATTTAAAATGAATTAAATAGCTCTGTCAAAAAGCTACTTGTTTTGTGTAATGTTTTTGCACATTTGTCAAAGAATTGTGGACTGGCCCTTTAAGGGACCTAAGTCACCTGCCTGCGTACAGTCTCGTTTTGTTGGTTTGAGTTACGAATGTGGTGCACAGCGACGGTTTGTGTAGCTGTAGAAGTGGGTCTCCTTCCTCTTTAGTCTGTTTAGACCATCTACACTGGTCAACTGAAAAATGCAGGCTACAAAAAATGACATTTTTGCCATCATTGAGATAAATTGGGAATAACCGTGCCGTTTAATCCCAATTACTACTTTTAACGGTTGTCCAACACAATTTTTCATTTTCCAAAACTTACCACACCAATGCACAAGGAGGTTGTTTCTTCCTCTGCTGCTGCTCATAACCCATTCAGACTGCTCTCTAATTCCCTGGTGAGGACACGGTGACCTGCATATGGCTCTACACTTCTTTGAACCCTTCAAAAAATACATCAGCAGGATTCTGCCTCCTTTCAAATCGGATTTTGATGTTGAGCAGCAGAATGTTTCCCTATGTTCTAATTTTTCATTGGCTATTTAAAAACAAAAAAACACCTTGGCTGCACAATGAACAATGATGTCACTGTGCACTCACATTGTTCACCTGCGGTAGTTTTCTTCCTGGAAAGATCAATGGACCTTGTTGTTGTAAGAAATCTTCAAGATTGATGTTGGAAAGTGCACATTATAAGTATTTTCAGACCTCAAATATCCTTTTGTAGAAGCGTCGATAGGATTATTTGGCCTTGAGTTACGTTTACGAGTGATATTTGAGACGTTGGTTTTATTGTATGCGTGCCATTATTACTGAACATTCATTCACTGCCATGCTTGGTGTAATAGTACAGTATTTTCCAACTGTATTCAAAAGGAACAAAATATGGAAATATGAAGACTTGTAACAAAAGGCTCAGTGAAAATTCCAATTCATTGAAACATGCCTTGCTTTAAACAGAAGAACTTCTACAATGAGAATGAATACACCTGTAATTTAAGGCTCGGAAATTGTATGAATCAAGTTTAATTCTCGTGAGATCTGACCCTGAATCTATCATGTACTTTTCTACTTTCTTCTTCTTCAGCACCACAGTTCCTTTACCGACACTGTATTATTTGTTTGTTTTTTCTAGGATTCTCAAAGATAGTGTATCTTCAGCTCCAGCTTCTCCACACCAGAACTTTAAAGCAACAACAGCATATGATAATTTCATACCTCAGCAGGTGAGTCATCTGAGACGTCTGCCTTTACACCTTTCATCCTCAGGCTCTTCATCGTTTCCTTCCTGTTCCTAACTCATTGCTGTGCTATCTGCCCTCTTCAAGTTAATTTATGACCTCGCCAGTCGTGTTCATTACTGTGAAAATGTTAATAGGATTATGACTTTAACTTTCATGCAGATTACTGTGTTATGGAAGGTATCGTTTGTTCTGAACATTTTAACATCCAGAGCCACCACCTTCAAACTTTGTTCTTTGAATGCTGTAACAAAGGGCTGACTGTATATGTAAAACACTGAGCTGAGTTGGATCAAATTATAAAATGGTAAAATATTTTTGGTTAAATCTTTCATCTTTGCAACTTGCCGTACTTTTGACGTTACTTTTTTTCACCTACATGGGTCTAGTGGACCTCTAATAAAGGCCTTTATATCTTATTCAGAGGCTTCCAGCACTGGAGCCACCTACACCTGATCACTGCTATCTGCAGCCATATTTATCATTGTTATTATGTGAAAAGCACATGAGATACCTGTTCAGAGCACTGCAAATATCCAGGGAAACTCTTTGACGTTAGGCCTCAGCACACAGTCCTTTACTTGTCCAATGTGTCATCCCCTCCTCCTCTTCTTGATTTTTTTTTTTACTTCAGAAATGTTGACAGGACACAAATTTTCCCCATGGTTTGCAGAAGAGTAAAAAAGGATACATTTTTTTCCTTCTCTGGGCGACTGCACAAACATATGATTCACTTCTGTTCAACTGCCAGGTTCTGTTTATGGAGTGGTCAGGAGTTTTCTTTTTTTTTTTTAAATGTTTTTATATCCATCTATATCCCAGAGGCTTGCAGACCAGTGTCTGTTATCACTCCAACACATTCCTCAGAGAGGGCGCTCCGCATTTGGACAGCCGCTTGGATTAAGCCTGCACCGTTCCTATAAGGTGGGAGGGGAGATGGAGTGGTGCAACACCTGACATATGGTGGTAGTGCACTGGGCGTCAGTGTAGAGGCAGCTACTAGGAGCAACCTGTGTCTGCAGCTGAGGGTGGTTAATTGAGAACAAGCAGGAAACCTGGTTCACTTCAGTGATTTTCAATGTCTTCCTTCAAAGCCAGGTTAAGTAGCTCCAGCGTTCATTTATCTCAGCCATGTGAACTCTACAGCACTGCCAACCCCAGGCTTTATGGATGGTGAATAGCCTCTCGATGGTGGATTTTTTTAATTTTTTTTTTGGCTGATGGCTCTTTACTTAGTGCCGTGACGTCAAGATTTGATCTGATTCTGAAAGAAGCGCACAAAGTAATGGTGACATCATTTGAACAATTGCAGTCCTTCTGCTTGCTCAAAGGCTATGTTCCTTCTTGAGGGTCAGTGGTTAAACACCTCATCAGGTGCAAAGAAATGTATAGTGTCTGCTACGCACGTCCGGTTGCCAAGCAACTAAATGGAAGAAAATGTACAAAGTAAAAAATAGTCGGCAGCAGTTATGGTTGTTTTTCTTCTAGTCCACTTCAAGAGGTGATTTCACAACATTAGCTGCTCTGCGGTAGTCATTTCCAGCTGATTCTTCTGCCCACATGGACCATATATGAGAAAGTGGCTTTAACCAGAAGTTGAAATTATGAAGTTAGTAAATACTGTTGGAAATTTAGTTTACAGTACAGATAAAAGTGCACTGAAGCAGGAAGTATAAAATCAGTTTTATAAGTAATTCTTTACCATAATCCATAACCCTTTTTTAATTATTCCTTTATTTTTTTACATTCTGACTTAAGTTGTCTTACTTTTTTTACTTTATTTTTTTTACATTCTGACTTAAGTTGTCTAATATAAATGTAGCTGCTCTTGCTAGCCTGGAGGAACTTTTAATTTTTTAAGCTTTGCCTTGGCTTGCTTTTATTTTAATTCCAATTTTGTGTATTTTAAGATAACCTTCTTTTGCTCTCATTTTATTTTTTATCATAGCATTAAATTTAATATTTTAATGACTTTTTTATACTTTTGTATTGGACAACTGTCAGGTATCAATTTGTTCAATTCACTGTTTTTCAGTGTTTATTATGATTATTAAAAATCAGACCATTTGTTAAATACTAGGTGTTTGTATAATTTATTACAATTTTGTCTGATCTTGTTTTGTTTTTTTCCACTCAGGATCACTGGGATCTTTTTCAGTAGCTGATAAAACTTTATTAAGACAAATGTGTCAATAATTTCAGCTTAAACTGTAAAAAACTTATGTTTAACCTGAAAAGGCTAAATATAACAATACTTTATGTTCATTCTCATATACATACATACACACACACACACACACACACATATATATATATATATACACTTAAATTACTCATGTTTAGTGTTCTAGGGAGTGGTTTTTAGCTGAACCTGAATTATTATTTTTAGTTTTTATTTTTTTTTGTTTTGATACCGTGTCTAGGTGAGCATTTGAAATACTACCAGTCGGGTCATTAATTTTATTTTCTCTCTCTCTCCACTTCCAGGATGGTAACTTTTTGCTTTGTCACTGAGTCACCACTCGTAGCTCAGTTGCCTTCCTGACAAATTCCTGACAGGTTAATTTGTGCCCTTAGAGTCACTCAGCCTTATCACTGTCATGAATTTATCATGAGAAAATGTCCCTCAGCCCTGTGACACATTCAACATAATTTTTAATTTTAATTTTAACACATCTCGTGACTTTGTTGATCACCACACTGAAGGACAGGAAACCTCAGGCATGATCAAAAATACAACCACAAAATAGGAAATGATAATGACTATAGTTTTTTATTTCACTGACCTCACAGGTCTGGTTTTGGTACATTGAATCAAAATAACCCTAAAGATAGATAGATAGATAGATAGATAGATAGATAGATATAGAGGTTTTCACTCTAAACTAGTTTAAAGTGAATGAAAGTGATGAACTAGTCCTGCATTTTGGGCACTGAGAGGAAATCAGAGAACCTGGAAACACCCACACAAACATGAAGTGAACATGTGAACTTCAGACAGAGGGACTAGCGATTACTACTTTAACGGCTGTACGGATCTGTTATTCTTGTCATCCGTAAAACCACCATTCCACCAAATATTCCATTTAATGGAATTGCCATGACAAAGCTGGCACTGAATCCATTTGACATTAAAAGTATGCAAAGTCTGTAACTACTATTGCAGTAGTTTTGGAATTTTACTAAACACATAAAACAGTGTGATTTGACTGTTGCCTCCCAAAGCAAGACATGTTTTTGCATTGCTATCATGGGTGACCTCCATAGAACTTATTTACTGATTGTGATGGATTTTTGGGTTGTCACCTTTTTATATGACTTCATTTTATTTTAAGCTCTCTCCTTTAGCAGTCCGCATGCTTTTTTGGAAGTTATTTTTCTCTCAGTTGTGTCATTTCTGGCAACGCTCAGCGCTGTTTTTAAGCGAAACCTAAGTTTCCATTTTGGCTCCTGGTTGGTGATCACGTTTGTTGTGATGGATTTCTTTTCACCCCTACTGTCACCTACACATGCAATTTATTTTGAGCAGGACTTGTATCAGACTTTTTAAATATCGGGGATGAGTGGTTTATTGTTATTTGCTGAGTATATCCAAAAATATATATTTTCTTAGCATTTTCTGTTCATATTGCTACATATGTGTTCATGTTGCAAATTGCCCAGCAGTAACACTCCTTAAACAGAGGCAAGACTGATACCAGTCCCCACTTACAGTATCTGCTGTGGTAGAACTGAAAGGCAGAGGTCATGGATGAGTTTCAAAATAATAAACACATTTATTAATTCCTACCTCATTTGATCTGTCAGTCGTATTAACACTGAGTCAACGATGCATGTGAAGCAAATAAAGACCAAGTCAAACCAGGACATTTGATAATAAAAATCTCAGTGTTTTAAGAGTCACATTTTCTGTAGCCATGTGGGTGCTGCTTATTTTAGTCAATAAGACGTGGAGAGAGATAAAGGACTTTATTTATTCTGTTCATCTCATTCTCTATTTCTGTTAAAAGCCTGTGTTTGTGTGCAGACCCTGGTCAAACCCCTGCCTCCCTCACTCTCACTCTACGCCTGTGTCTTTGCTCTCCCACATATAAATATTGACCGTAAAGAGAAGCATGATTTATCAATAATTCCATTTCAACAGCAGCTCAGGTCAGAAAATAAACTCAGCAGAAATGATATTTTAGTCTTCAGAGCACTTGGACTGGGCTTTTGCTATCAAGCTACGACTCTATTTGGCTATTCATTAGCTGCTTTTTAGCTTTTTCTTAGCTATTGTTAGCATGCTTTTTGTCGTCTACTATTTTTGTCTTTTGAGGATTGCATATTCTATATTTTGACATTTTGTTGTATGCCTTTTGCCATGTTTCTAGCTAGTTTTCACATGTTTCTGAATAGTTGTAGCTAGTTTTCTAGCTTTTCTAACAGTTTTAGACCTGAGGGAGTCTGGGGCTAATTATTAGCAACCTTGGCTAACAATCAGCTACTGTAGCTCTGAGAGAAGGCTCTTAAGTCACAGAAAGAGCACTGGTATCAACATTTATATTGCTGAATTTGGCCTTCAATCATAAATGTTGCTGTTACATAACCTAGATGAGACACAATTCTATATGTTCATATACATAACAACTGACAGTGAATTAAAGAGTTCAGTTCATGAATATGTAAATGACTGGTGCAGCCATTAGATGCTACTCCAAGCATTAGAACCTCGTTGTCCTTAAGGCAAGAATTAAGGCTCCTATCAAAGATTTGATGGTAGGCAACAGCAGAGATGGTGTTCTTTCCAAGAGAACGAGTGAGAGAGAGCATGACGTCCAATCAGTACAGAGCAATTGATTGAACAAAGTCTCTTTGCCATGGGAGACCAATTTCAGCTCAATTATATCCACTCCCTGCTGCTCCTGCCCTCTCTGGTGTTCCGCCAAGCTGCTGTGGATGGAACTTCTTCTCATCTCTTAAACATCCTCACATCAATTTTTCTT